AAAGATGAAGTTGTGCGAAGCGAGAACTTGGACCTGGCTCAGCGACTTATTTGTGGCATGTCTTTTGACCAGTTTGAAGAGGATGCCACAAGCCGGTTCTTCAGCGGCATTCCGATTGTCGATGATTCAAAGTGCGAGGGAGATCCTTTGAGATACCCATACGTGCATTTGATTGAGAGTATTTGCAAGAAACACAATCTGGATGAGAAAACAAAAAGCACATTGCTCAATGGTAACCTGGCTACGGATAGTAGCGTCATGAGCTGTGACATCAGGTTTAATGTGGGAAAGCCTGGCCTTTTCTACTACGGCAAATTCATGGCACACACATCGCAGGGGGCAAGATCGATTTCTGCTTCCTGTTCTACCAGTTGAGTTTCAAGATTAAAAAGGATACTATTGTGGAGATACACCAAAAGAAGTTTTTGTGGTTTGTCTACGACACACACAACACAATCGAGGAGAAAGAGGTAGCCTTGACAGAAATGGACTTGACCCTTTTCCAGACTTACTTCCGGTGGAAGCTTCTTGAGAAGCTGGGACCGGACCTCAAGATGTTCAAGGAGCGTTGATGCTACAGTTGGTCCATCATCAGCCAGAATTTGAACTAGATTGCATCCTGGTGAAATTTCTGCAGGCTGTGAGCCATAGTGCCGTTTTGGAGCAAAGGGGTAAAGCACACTTACATTTGTTCCGATTGATTTCTTGGTGGCACATGGCACACAATTATGAGAGTCAGGGCGGAAGACTCATCACTTTGCAGCGTGCAAAATTCTGCTCCTTGCTTTTTAATCCGAGCTTCTTTTTGTACACCCCCTTCGGCTTTGTCTCCCTTGCACCTGGGCACCACCAAGGTTGCATGGCAACCAACAGGGCGAGATGGGTTGGAAGGTTTGTCAGAGGGTTTTGAGTGAAGCGAGACTCCATCTTACAAGAAAGACACGCAAGATCATGTTTGTTGGATAGATTTGGGACAAACAACTACCCTGTCCCAGACCACAACACACACACACACATGCATGTTTTTCTTTACCCAATCTCACCACCTATAGTTCCTTGTCAGAGTAAAGGTATCTCAGCAGCAGGGTCTGGGATGTCCAGATGGACAAGAAGTGGAATAAAACAAAACAAACATCTGTAACCTTGTGATCCACTTTCTCTACCAGATCTTTGGGGATCCATACGGGGTACCTCTTGGATGGATGCCCATTTAGTCTGCATGCCCATCAACTGGTAGAAGGGTGCAAGAGACGCAAAGGCCTTCCGAGGTCCTATAAATTTCAACTGGCGGTTTCATTGACATGCTTTCTTCCCAAAGGGTACGTATGTCGTCAAAGATCTCTTCAGCTGTACTAGCTACAGTCTGCCAATGGAGGCATCCTGAGCTGAGAGAGCTTCATAACTAAATAACTTCCTAAACGGCGAACATGGTCATGTTTTTTCTTTTTTCTGCTTGTGGGTTCTTGGCTTTCTAACAGATCTCCACACTTGCCACAGTCAAAACTAGGGCTACTTCCCTTTAGCAGGGGATCATCCACGTGAATTTTGTTATGGAACATAGACCTTTGGGTGTCGGAAGGGGTAGCAATCCTCCTGTATGTAATGAGTCAGTGCGGACCATGGCACATTTGATGCAGCATAAGTTTCCCGTGAAATTGGCAAGTTGCAGGAACGTATCTGCGATTTTCCCCGGGGTTCGGAACATGGATTTCCAGCTTGCCTAACGCCAGGCTCTGGGTACAACAAGGCCCATAGATGATGGGCGATTCAGAGCGTGTGCCTTTAGTTCACAAACATGCAAACCTCTTTTGACAGACATCCAAGTTTTCAAACAGTTGACAGATTCTGCCACCTCCTTTGCATAGCCAACTCCACGCATAAGCCCATTGGGTCAATGCCTTGGACCTGGGCTCTTGTTTTCTTGCAATGCAGCTACTGTTTTTCAGTCTTTTGTTTTGAGTATGACATTTGACTGCAATCTATTGCTCTTGTTGGGTCCTAGTCCTGAGAGTGGGAAACTTCTTTTTTCTTTATACTCTCGGGCCGCTCCTCGCCAGGATGGGGCGGTACCTGTGCAAGTGGGCTTGAGAGCACGGACCCCTGGAATTAGAGCCGATGCACCCTTGAGAAGCTAAAGATTGAGTGAGAAAAGTGTTTTTCCTGATGCTTCTGCTCAGTCCAGTTTCTCCATCATCAACTCACCTGGGGAAAGGGTCTCGGTTGTGACGCGTTTTTTTGTCTCGAATGTGACGCGGAGAGCTTTTCTCAGTTGTGACGCGGAGAGCTTTTCTTTTAGAGAATCTGTGTGCTTCTGGGCCCTTGCTGGGTTCTCATAAAGTCATAAAGCTCCAATCCAGCTCCACACCAATTCCACCACTCTAAACTCTGAAGCCCAACAACCTAATGTCCCACCCCACCCCTAACCCCCCCCCCACCCCCCCCACCCAACCTAATGCCCCACCCCACCCCACCCCCCCCCCCCAACCTAATGCCCCACCCCACCCCACCCCAAGTGCCCCACCCCTCCACACCCCAACCTAATGTCCCACCCAACCTAATGCTTGCAATCATATGTGTGCATGTGTCTGTGTCGCGAATGAGAGAGATTTGGTGTCGTACATGAGAGGAATACAGGGGGGTGGTGGTGTCGCAAATGAGTCCGATTTGGTGTCGCAAATGAGTCCCTTGCCCTCACCTGGCTTCTGTGGCTTGCAACCAGGTGCGTAACCACGCGAACAACCACTGTGGGGAAGTGGTCGCCTGCCGCGGGCGAACGTGTGGGAGCCCAGTGCCCAGCCTGTGAAGCGTCGATAGGGTGCGGACGGGTTGAGAGTTGACAGCAAACGCTCCCAGAGATGGGGACTAGCTGCTAGATGCACACGTGAATGCTTGATATGCCTTTCATCCCAGGATAGACAAGCAAGTGCTTGCTCAAGATCATGTCGGCTCGAGCCCGTTCCGCTTGGTTTCCTTTGGGCTTGCGTTGGACCTCCTTCGTGGCGTTCCCAACAAGAGCAGAGGTTGATGGCCGGCTCATCGCGCCAGGCCTAGACCAGGCGTCCATCCATGCCCTGTTGGAAGCAACCCCGCCGTCAGGGCAACTGCCAAGGGTATTTTTGATGTTGCCAAACAAGGCAGGTGGAACGGGCCTCAGGGTCTATGAATGTTGGTGAGAGTGAGGGCAGGTGGCTTCATGGTGGCGCTTCTAGGCAGGTGTTTTTTGTAGCAGGCAGCACCCGGCCGTGCTGGGTGACCACTGGTGCGCCACCAGTAGGAGGTGACGCCACCTGAAAGGCTTGAAACCTCACCATTCATCCGCTTGAGAACTTGTTTTAGAAATGGGGGTTTAGGTTTTCAGGTCAGAGTTTCAAGAATCAAGCAAATCTCAGAAGAGTTAAGCAAGGGTCTGAAAGGGCAGCAGTAGCAGAACAATAGAACAGCAAGCATATTTTTTAAAAACTATTTTTTTCCCTACCATTAAACTATTCAGGGTGTGGAATAGTTGTGCGAAAGCTTTTATTATTCCCTCCCATTTGACTAATTGGTTTCGACATCATACATGGACATAGACATGCCAACACAAATAAATAGACAACTAAAACAAAATCAGGTCAGACCTCCCGACATTTGAAAGTTTGCAAGTCTCACACATATGACATGCGATAAAACACCTCGACTTGCATCGGCATCGGATGACAGTAGGAATGTGTTTAGGTTGTTGATGTTAAACAGGATGGGCACACGCAAGGAGTTGGCTGTTTTGCCCAGTAAAGCAGCAGAATGACTAGCACATGAAGATCCTGGCTTCCAAACCGCTTGCCAAACGCTTCCAGGCTGTTGAACATCGAAATCACTTTTCGATTTGCCCTGGTCTCCATCTTCTGACGATGCAAACGTTTGGTCCGCCCAGGCCCGGCACCTTCCGTGTACTCTCGGACAATGGTCAGGACGAGGGCGGTGTGAGCCGATGCGTTGGGGGTTTGACACAGGTTCGAATGTGGGGATGTTGCAAACTGGTTCCGCGGAGGTGAATGCATCATGCCCGGGGCCACCCTAGCTCCAGAGGAAAGCAGTCTGCTCAAAGGTGAATCTTGAGACGAGGCAGATGATTTCCCCTGGCATCACCTAGTCCTCGAGCAATTGGTTTGATGCTTCACTGCTTAGTTTTGTCGGTGGATCAAACCAAAGCAAAAACACTCCCTGCCCCACCACCCCTCAGATCCAAGGGTGAGAAGGTCGTCACATCCTGTGTTCTATTGCGCTTTGGTGGTCATTCTCGAGTTAATGGCAGAAAACAGTTCTGTTTGATGCTCTCTACCACTACAAGAGCACTGAAGCGAGGATTTCTGTGCTGGAAGGATGCCAACGTGCGTTCAGTAGCGCGGGTGACTCCAGTGCTGGCAGAACAACAGCAACTAGAAGAGCAACCACGTTGAATGACCTTGAACTAGAAGACGTTGAATGACCCCGCTGGGGGTGTTGTTGGTCAACTACCGAAATGAGTGTGGGTCAAAACCGGGCTACCTGGGTTGACCAGAGAAAAGGAACAGAATGGACTACTAAGGAGGTCAACCTACCCTGGTTTGGGCATCCGGGTTTTGATCCACAGCCAAATGATCACAGCCATTTTTAGCCTGAAGTCAGCCGTTCTCCAAACTGATACTTTGTGGCTTCCAGACTTTCCCACGGGCTGGCAGGAGTGGGAGTGGGAGGTGAAGAGGCTGGTTCCGTGGGAAGAGGGGCTGCTTGCTTTGTTTTTTTGACGCTGCCAGGTTCAAGCGCTTCGTTTTAAATGCCTGTCAGCACAAAGGTATGTAACAGTTTCAAGGTGTACCTGTCAGCACAAAAGCCTGGAGTGAATTCAGCACTCTCCGTCCTGTGCTTTCTCTCGTCACTTGGGTCGCTGGCTTGGAGCATTTTGGCTTACACAGTTGGTGTCTCAAGTCGAATCAATCTCATCCATGACCTATGACCCAGATGGACCCAGATCATCAGAGCTCGTCACAGAGAGATCACCCAGCCACCGGTCTTCCTCACCGACCCCTCTCCCGATCGCTGGCGGGGGGTGGTGGGATGGCGCTCCCGCCCAGCGAGATGCCTCCGAGCTTGGAAGTACAGAGCTCAGAGTACTCGGAGTATGCAGAGTACTCGCCCAGCAACTTGGAACTTTTGAAGGCGCCGACCAAGAGAAAAAGCAAATCAATGGTGACGGAGCTTTTGGCGCCTCTGTCTCTCTGTCTCTGTCTCTCTGTCCCTCTGTCCCTGTGTCTGTCCCTCTCTCTCTCTCTCTGGAGTTTTCTAGGATAGTTTTATGTACGTAAAGACTTCAGATGCATGAAGCCTAGATGTCTAGTCACTTTATTTTATAAGTATATAGTGATATAGAGGTATTGATTTTGGCGTTTTCATTCTGGCTTGCCTGGCAGTTCTGAGCTTTTGCCATGCTTGAAACTGCAAGGGGGTCCGTGTCTTGCGAGGCCATTCGGAAGTCTCATGATTCGGTGGCCGATCAGCTCCGGACGCTGAGCAAGAGTGTCTTGGGCCTGTTCAGCTTTTCGGCTCGGATTCGGCTCATGGACCGCTTACCAACCACTGAGCTCAGCTGCGTTCCCGCAGTTTTATTGTCTGGAAAGATTGGGACGAAACTCAGCCCTGACCTGGTTGGGGAGGAAAGAGATGGACGAAATTGCTTCCAGGCTGGATTGTTGTGCAGACCCTGTCATTCAGGTCACTGGGAGCGGGGTTTGAGCGGGTTTTACTGGTTTGACCCAGCTTGGATGAACACTGTTTCAATTCAACATGGCCTTGAAATTCTAGGATTCTGGAGGAATCAAAGTGAATCAAGGTATCACGGTCAACGATAGTTGCTCGTGAGAAGACTGCATGATGTCCATAGTTTAGAGTCACTCCTAAGGAGTGTGTCAGATTAGAGACCATCAGTTACATGATACACCGGCAAAGTCGCACACTGAGTTCAGCAAGATTGTCATGTTATGTTTTGTTTAGGTTTCCTGCTTTTTGGAGCTCGTTCTTCATGCTCCACTAATGACTTCTTTTGTGTGGTGCACCACAATGCAGAGTTGGTGAAATGGCACCTGCCGTACATCGTTTCCATACACTTCCCCATTTAGGTCGCTCCTGTTTGGCGCAGAGAGAGGAACTCCTGCTCCAGAGTGGAGGAACCAACAATGTGAAGGTTTTCAATTCCTTAAGAATGAACTCACGATCGATTCTTGACTATTTGCTTTGGAAAGAGAGGGAACGAATTGGACTGGTTTGGTGGGAAAACTCCTCCTTCCTCCTCCCCCGTCTTCTGGGCCCGAGGTGTGCAGCAACTGCAGGGTTTCCACCGAAAGACCTCCATCTCCTCCAACGACTCCGTGGCTTCAGCCGCACAGTCCACCTCTGTCAGGAAGTTCCAGGCGCTGGTGATGGAGTCATCGGTTCCAGGAAGTCAAACACCTGGGGGGTCGAGGGTGAGAGGATTGTCATGCACCAGAAGCGTGTGGGTTTCAAGTGATGTGGATGAGCAGCATTGAAGTGGTGGCGGGTGAATATTTTGATCAAGCGCCTGTGGGTTAAATCACCCAAAATGATGATTAAGACTAAGACTAAGACCCCCATGAAAAATTCTTGGCTTGAGCTGACACGCTCTTTTTCTTGGACAAAAAATGCCTTCGATCGGTGGTCTCACCGCTTGGAAACTCACGGACTCCCCTTTTTCGTCCATGACGAAAACGCAGCCGGCAAAATGCCTCGGCTCAAGGCGGTGTACACTGGCATTTTGCCTTGTAATACTCCGCTCTCATTTTCTCTTGTGTCCATCCTTTTCGGGCGTTCTGCTGGAACCGATTCCATGGGTTTGTGGGTCCCATGGATGCCTTGGAACTCGAAGAAGGCATGCTCATCGGTCCTTGAAGTGCCCCGTGGAGGATCATTGAAGCTCGCTCCACGCTGGCAGCTGCCCTGTCAGCAGCCCGGGCGGCGAGTTGAGCGCTCACTGCCGCCTCTTCAGCATCGCCCGCGGCCTTGGATGCCGCTTCAGCCACATTTCTGCTTGTTCGGGAACTGGACACAGAGCGGTCTGCCGAGCCCGATCGCCTCCTAGTAGGCCCGGATGTAGAGCCATCAGCTGAGCCCGATCGTCTCCTGGTAGGCATGGTCACAGAGCCCTCTGCCAAGCCCGATTGCCTCCTAGTAGGCATGGGTGTTGAGCCATCTGCCGAGCCCGATCGCCTCCTGGTAGGCAAGGTCATAGAGCTCCTACTTGGCATAGTGGCTTCATCACTCCGGGTTTGAGGGTTTCGCGTCCTCAAACTTTGTGGTGTGGCCAATGACACTTCAGCCCCACCATCTTCGTCAGCCGACGTTGAACTTTCACCTTCTTCTTCATCACTGGAGCCCTGCTTCTTCCGAGGCTTGATGATCACCTGGTGCAACCGCCTCAGACAGCAATGCATTGACGCATAGATCGCGCTGCCAACCCAGATTGCCCCAATCGCAATCAAAATCAGGCGATCCAAAGGGAGTCAGAGGTCGAATCCTCTGTTGGACTTCCTTGAGCTTCAGCTGCTCGCACCAGCACACTTCCTGCTAGCAGTGCTCGAACGGCCGCTGCTTGGTTGCTGACGATCCATTTCCATGGTCTTCAGGCTGGTTTCCTCTCCCTTCAGGCCTAGATCACTGAGGAAGTTCTGGAAGCTCAGTGCCTCTTAGGTGCATCAGCTTCCAAGCTCCTCCTGGGTAGGTGCTGCTGTTTTCCAAAGTTTTTTGGAGAAGATTCGATCTCACCCGCAGATGCCTTGTCCTCCAGGAAGTGGCACTATTGCCATGGGCCAATGCTATTGCCGCGGCATTGTCGCCATAGATCACCCGGCCAAAGGTGTTGTTCTCCAGTCCCCCCACATAGTACATAGCAAAGCCTCCGTCGCACGACCTGATGTCAGGGCCTCACAGTACGACACCAATTCGGCTTCAGCTGTACTGTGAGTCACAAACGGTTGGGAAGAGCTCTGCCAAACGATGGGTGCTCCAGCAAAGTAGATCGCCAAGCCCTGCGTGCTGCGATGTCCTGACCCAGTGCCATAGGCGATGTCAGCATACACCTCTATGAGTTTCCCATGTCTTGGGTCTTGGGATCTTCAGTTGTCCTCGAGCACCCCAGATTTGATGCACCTGACCAGTGTAGTGAAGATCTCCTGGAGCGCCCTTGACATAGGCCAGTAGGGTGTGGGCCACTTCAACTGCCTTCTTTGGGTTCCGGGTCATCATGCGGCTGACTACCGCCACTCCCAGCGCGAGGTCTGGTCTTGACCTCGTTGCCAACCATAGGAGAGATCCCGCCAGGGCCTGTGCTTCACGAACTTGCCTGATGTCCGTTTCCCCTTGAACCTCAAAGTCCTCCTCCCAATCTTGAAGTTGGGGAAAGCTGAACTCTCCTTCACATTCCACCGAGCTAGGATCTCCTGTTCATACTTTTGCTGGGATAGGTGGAAGCCATCGCCCTTTTCATCCGTCTTGATCTCAAAGCCGCAAAAGTGGACCGGATTCTGTGGTGAAGCCCATTCCACACTTGACGTAGTCCATGTAGCTTGCAGGGAAGTCAAGGCGGACGACAGGGCCATTTCTTCTCCGGTCAACAGGATGTCGTCCACGTACACTGACATCAGTCCGGTCCAGTGGCGTTCACCGGACAAGCGCCACAAGTTCTCATCGGCGGTCTTGATGAAGTTGCCGCGGACCTTTCTGTCCTCCTTCATTCGAACCCAGCTCACTGCCGGCAAAGTTCGGTCACGGTATTGCGACCAGTCCCGCGGCGATGTGGTCAACCCGTACATCGCGAGTTTGACCAGCCAAACCTCGCCTTCACGGGCGAGACCAAGGCGCTTGTACACATTGGGGATCTCCATAGCAACAAGTTTGCCATCTTCCCTTGTTGGGGCGTTGAGGAAAGCCACACGGACGTCAGTTGCTGCTACTGCCCATGACTTCAAAGCCGCGGTGCGGATGAGAGTTCGCACCTGACATCCATCTGCACCTCCAGCGTAGCAATCTGCGCTGAAACGGGTTTCCGAGTAGTTGCCGCAACAGACAGCTCTTGCCCTTCTCACTCCTGCTCCGGCCTTTCTCGTGAAGACCATTTTTGCTGGAAGCAGTTCGATGATCTTGCCCTCTTTCTCTGCTCTGGCCTGCAAGGCCTTCTTCGTGATCTGTTGCACCGCTTCCTTGGTTTGGACGAGCTGTGTATACTCAGATTGAATGGCCGGGACCCAGTTCTCAAAATCGTCCATCACCTCCTTGGTGCTCACTGTTTTGGTGACCAGGAACTCCTCCTCCATCTCTTTGTGGCACAGCTGCACCTGATCTTGATGGTTTTGCAAGAGCTGTTCTTCGGCCTCCACTTTATGCAACACAGCTTGGCTTAGCGCCCCACTGTACCAGGCCGGTGATGCCCACGTGCCCGATCTCCTCGTTCACATACTCCGCCAAGTTCGCTTGGAGTTGCAGCTTGGTGATTAGAGCTCCCCCCGGGCCTGATCTTTTGCATTGAGGCCACTGGGTATGAGCCACCAGCCCAGTTGTTTGGCGCCTCCTCCAAATCCCCTCCTCCAAGACTGTCCACCCCCAACAACCCCAACTCTTGGCCCGGGGGACCCTCCCCACCAGCGCTTGAGGATATCGAGGATGTTCTTGATGGTGTTTCGATGGTCCAGCTGTCACTGCTCCATTCGGTTGCAAACAGCTTCTCATCATTCGGGCCATGAGCATCAAATGCATCACGATGCGTACACAGCCACTTTTGGACATAGGTACCAGGCTCCCCCTCCATGCCCTGGGATTGCAGTTTTTTCACGCAAGCGACGGCGAGGAATGTCCCCTTCCCATGCCGCCTGGCCTGAAGGTTCTTGTTGGAGAGGTAGGTACACACGATCATCATCAGCCTCAGGCTGGCGCTTGGCACCACCACATCATCCGTGTAGAAGTACCTTTGAGTTTCTGTGGGCCGCGCATAGTAGCTTGTGAGGTGACAGAACTCTGCAAAGCCGGTCCAAGCACCTGCACCTCATCTCTGATCGTCCTCCACGGCTGATAGCGGTCTCGCCAAGACTTTTTCAAAGCATAGGCCTTGGCCCCAAATTCAGCAAAGGTCCAACGGGGACTCCAAGACTTCTGAGTTGTCCTCGACGCCGGCGTTCGCCGATGTGGATGGCCGCCAATGGCCACTGGTTGAGGTCCAAACCCGTGGAGGTCATGATGGTTCGAACATGTTTTTTTGATCACTCCCAAATCTCCTTCAACACGGCCATTGGACTTGTAGGAATCACCTGAAGTCAAAGTTGTTACTATGCTTCTGTCCAATGTCCACCGACGAACTGGTGCCGAAATCAGCTCTCTGGCGCGGTCACAATGTAGCCTGTACAAAGGCAAGCCCAGACTCCGAAGCCGAGCGTAGATCCTGGCGAGAGCCCGAAGGATGTGCTGAACACCTCTGCTCGGAAGGACCTCTACGAAGGTCAAGTTTCTGACAGCCACATCTTGAACAGATGCCACTTCCTTTTGCCAAGCATCGAAGGCAGTGTGACCAGCACGAACAGCGGCATCAGCCATCGCCTGCGATGGAGCATTGACTTGGTCCTCCCCCGGAATCTCATCCGCCGCCCGGATCATCACCACCTGCTTCCGTGGGGTGTACTCTTGAAGGTAAACCCCCATCAGCGACCGCTTCAACTTTCTCCACCAGGGACCGACCAGCACCATCAATGGGAAAGGTGTAAACTGCCACCATCATGTACTTGCAGTCGTGACGGCTTTGATCTTGACCAATCACCATCCTCCCCGATAGATCCACACTCAGCGTATATGCTTCTGGGTGCGTGATCCGCCTGTGTGGTTTGCTCCTTGCAGCAGCTTTGACACACTCTTTGCAATCCCTTCGGGCCGGCGTGTGGTCCTGGATGTAGTGTTGTCTCCAGCTTTCCAAAGCAACTTGACCCAAAGGACGGAGAGCTGTTTCCAACGACGGTGCGATACCACGATTGAGGTGATCTTGAAGCGCAAGCACCAAAGCCACTTTGAGGCCAGGTGCCCAGGCTGCCCATTGTTTTGATTGATCACACCTGTCTTGCAAGGGCATGCCACGTCGATCTTGAGCAGCTTCCTCATCGCCACACGGAGGACCGCGAATTTCATTCAGGGCTTGGATATCCCTGAGCTTAACGGCCAGAGTGGTTGGTTTCTTTCTCACATGACCCATCGGGCCTTGATCAAAGTGGAGCATCCGGATCTGGTAGGTGTCGGCGAAGACCTGCCAAGCTTTCGTCCTCCAGATTGACATGAATTTTTCTTCTCAACCTCTTCACGAGATCTGTAGCGAGCAGGATCTTCGGGCTGCTCAAGGGCCAGGGCTTTTTGCGGCTCATGTTCATGGCGAACATCCTCGCACAGCACATACAATGCCAACATTCTGAACAAGAGGATGCTGTTCCCCCAAACCAAAGCTTGCTCTGCCATTGAAAGGGATGGAAGGCCGTAAGGATGCTCTTCTGACCGCAACACACCTGGGCCGTCACCATCCTGGTACCGCAAAGCTGACACCGTGCGGCAGGGCGGTCCGCCCACAATGGCCTTGACACGGCCTGTTGCAGCCAGAGCCAGCAAAAACCGATAGACGTTGTCATCGTGCAAGTCGGCTGCAACTGCTGCTTGTAAATCAACACAAAGCACCTCGACTCGAAGAGCTTTTTCCCAATATCTGGCGTCGGGACCAGAAAACAGATGGAGCACGATCTGCTTGGCCTGGGCCAGGCGTTTCTTTTTCTCCGGTTCCAAGCAGCAAATGACCCGTCCGCTACCTGTTGTAGATCCGAGAGATCAGGAATCACTTTCATCAAAAGCTCATCCGGCACATCCTGAAACAGATGCTTCAGCTTGAGTGTGAGGGCCATTTCTGTTGACAAAGGCGGAGCCAGAGGAACCATTGAAGGCTGCGCAAACAATGTCTTGATGAGCAAAGCTTTCTGAGCCAGATGCGCCTGACGTCGTTCCAGCCGATCATTTGTCGTCCCAGCTCCTTGTTGACCATGGGGCACCCGTGTTGTATTGTCACATCCAACTTGTTGCCATGGTCATCCTTCAACAGACAGTAGGACCCCTTCCACTCAAAACGATAGCCCAACTCCACAAATGCCATTAGCGGAACAATCCATGATTTGTCCAGCTCTGCGTCATGTGGGGCAGAAAGAAGCACCTTTGAATCCTGCTTCAACCGGAGCTTATTTGACACTCCTTCAGCCAAGGTCACTTGTGTGGGTTGTGCTGCCTCCCACTCAACCATATCAGCTGCTGGGCGAAGCGCATGAGTTGCTCCGGAGTCCAAAAGCACTGTAGACCCGCTGGTGTCATAGTCAAGCTGACTCACCCTTATCGCACGCAATTGAGGAGCACGAAGGGACTTAAGGAGTTGTGTCACCTCATGGAGCAATGCTTCACTTGTTGTCGCACCTGTTTCACCTCCTTTTGTCATAGTCTCCCCCGATTGGTTGTCACCAGCTCCCGTTGCATAGGCGGTCTCAGGGCCCGGAACTTCCATTTCTTGCAACTTGACGGGATTCGGTGCAGCTTGTTGACCCCCACTTGACTTGGAGCCTGAGGACTGCATCTTTCCTCCTCTGGTGAGCCAGCGCCTGGCTCACCAGCGCCCTTTCCATCTTTGGCTGGAGAAGGCTTCCCTGTTGTTTGCGATTTCAACTTGCAGTCGGACTTGCGATGGTCTTTTCCCCTGCAGATCCAGCACCGTTGAGCTTTATCTTCAATGCCGTCCCAGGCATGTGACCATTTGCAGTTCTTGCCAGCCTTGCAGCCAGCGTCTGATCTGAAGTACCGACACGGGAGAGCTGCTGTGGAGGCGCCCTTGCCTTTGTCCCCTGCAGATGTAGCCCCTTGTTGTTTCACCGGAGCTTCCAACTGTTTCACCTTCACCGGTGTAGAGGACGTTGTAGGCGTAGTGCTCAACAGAGTCAAAGTCTCCACCTCTGCCAGCAAACAATCGCCAGACCCCTGCATGGTGCGGCTGTTGATCCACTCCCAACTCTAACCTGCTCTGTGCCAGTCGGAAAGCCGCTTGCGCATCCAAAGCTGCGATCTGAGTGACCGCAGGCTCCAGTGCCTTGAGAAGCAAAGTGCCATCAGGAAGCACGGCACCAATCTCTTCAGCTCTGGCGTAATGCCTCCGCCAGGAGCGCAAGGTTGCAGCCAGTTCAGGAAGTCCAGCTGCTTTATCCAAAGCCGTGAGCTTGGCCAGGAGGATGGATTTCTCACCTGCTCCACCGGGTTGATAGCGGACCAGGAGCCTGAACAACAAAGCCGTGGACGTGAGCTCACGGGCAGTGATCAGCGCTTGCTGCTGATCGACCTTGTGTCCAACTGGACTCTTTCCAAAGGCGAGGCGGTCTTGCAGCGGTTGTAGTAGCATTGAGCCTCACGCAAAGTCAGGTTCCACCACCTGGCTGACACTTGCGACAGATCACGAAGCACTGGGCCGCAGACAGCCAACAGTCTATTGGCGAAGCATCCGCCGCCAGCGTCGGAAGGTCAGCCTTGCTGCCACTGCCATCATGCCAAGGAAGCGGCGCTGCCATTGAAGATCCACCATCAGGCCGCCGTCGACCATAAACCTCATCTTCACGAGGCTCAGACTCAGACCCCAAACCAGGGCCTCCTGCACCGGGCTTTGACATGCCCATAGCATCAACATGCACTGGCCGCCATACATCACCATGAAGACCTGTGCCACGATCAGGAGGGCATACACGATCACATGCTTGGGGTGTTGGAGACCCACCATGGCCATGAACCATACCCCGAAGATCATGTCCATGCATTCCCACACTACCTCCAGGCAAACAACTCGGAGCTGGAGGGAGCATGAGGTGGAGATGCCAGGGACATTCTCTTTCATGTAGGCCAAGGAGTTCTTCAATTCTTCAACTTCACGTTCCAGCTGAGAGGTGCGATCCTGTGGAACAAAAGCTTTCCCCTCACGCTGGTCCATGGGCAACCAATCGCCATGCCGTCCACGGCGATCCAAAAGCTACTAAGATCAGCCGAGTTGCTTGAAGGTGGAAAGGGAGGTGCTGGAATCTCTGGCAAGGCGGCTCGATCAGGAGGTGAGCCTGGTGGTACCTGTGTTCGATTCGGAGTGAAACGATGCCCGCCAGCCGCTGGCCTTCTATTCGTAGGACTTCACCCACGAGGCGTGCGCGGCGGCTCTCCCTTCTTTGCCATCGGCCGAACTGGCCCCCCCACCATCACCAACACTGGTTGTGGACCCCAAAGAAGCTTCTTCAGCGGGTTGTCCTCCCCCCCAAACCATCTATCTGAACCCAAGAGGAAGGGGTGGATGTTGGAGCGCTACCCGGCTTCGACTGTTGCTTCTTCAGACGCTCCAGTTCTTCCCAAAGCTGGGAGTTTTGCTCCCTGAGAAAATTCACCATTTCCGCCTCCAAGGCTTTGTAAAGGCTCACACTGTCCTGGCCTTCCTTCTCGCGATCAGGTTCATGAGGGGGTCGATGCTTCGGCGGCAGCGGACCCGTGGAAGCGCGACCATGACTTGAGGGACCAGAGGAACTCTCGCTTGGAGGCATGACCCCATCAGTTTGCTTGCCCCGGCCATGCGCGCGACCGTCGATTTCGCTGCGGGAGCTCGGGGGTGTGGTGAAAAGTCGATCCACCCAGAGACGTCGCACCACGTCCCTTTCCCGAGCAGGCTGTGCTGCCACCCTGCACCGCCTCCACTTCATCTTCCAAGTCGCAGTCTGCCGGCGCCGGCAAGTCCTCTGGCCTTTTTGACCTCAGGATAGCTTCCAGCTTCACCTTGTCGCTCCACCATGGATTGAGGGCCACCGGTGGCAACGACCGAGCGCGGTCCATCGCCCGCCCAAAACCGGACCTACCCTGAGCGGTCGTTTGGGCTCATAACCCTTGAACTGACACGCTCTTTTTCTTGGACAAAAATGCCTTCGATCGGTGGTCTCACCGCTTGGAAACTCACGGACTTGGGATTTGTTCAACGGAATTGGGGAGAGTCGGAGAGGGGGGTCTGACGCTTGTTGAGTGGCAAGCTTTTGGTGTAACTGACCCCTGGTTCTTTTGTGGGATTCAGAGCGTCGTGGGTGAGGTGTTTCTTGACTGTTTGCTGTTTGATGGCTGGCACGGCTCCTTGGGAGCTTCCTGGGTGTCCGTTTCTGAAACATGTGCCATTGAACATGGACTGGACGCAGGTCATTACCCAAGAAACAGATGTGGAGTTTGGCTTGGAAAGGCATCGTCCAAAATGGGAGCAGGTGATAAGAGGTTGTGCAGATCATGGACATTTGCGTGTTTCTCTCTCAAAAAGTCTTTCCAATCAGACTACCCTCCCTCCAATAATCATGGAAGTGGACAACGTCCTCATGGAATACAATTTTCCTCTGGGGTGTATACATGGCAACTACGTACACCAAAACAGTTGCAGACACTCACCTTTGTCCTGGTTACTCCTCTCTCTTTGTGGCTCTAAGATGCACAATATATATATATATATGTATATATATATATATTGAGCGCTCTTTGAGTACTGAGAAGGGCCATGACAGGCCAGCTGGATGTGAGACACTTTTGTTTTCTAACATCATTTCCCCTTCCCCCGCTGAAAAGCGTGCTCCCTTGCACCCCAAAAGGAGTACACGTAAGAAGAAAGCATGACTGAAGCACACCGCACAGCGAGCTGTGGAGACAGATGCTGCTTCCTTTGCCTCTCCAGGCCAACGAGAGTGTTGCAATGAAAGCCTTGCAAATGGACATCTCCAGCCTGGTGCCCTTTTCCATGCCTGGCACCGGTGGGGTCCCGGGCTCCTTCGGCCCCTCGACCGCCAGCCTGTACAAGAAGGCCAAGACGCTCCCGAAAGAACGCCTGAGGGAAGACTTGGAGGAGAGGAGGCGGTTGAGGGTGTTCATGGCGGTTGATGGGTGAGGTGCCAGAAGACACTTTTAAAGCCGTGGTGGGTTTGAATCCGGTTTGCTGAGGAGTTGAGGGGCTGGGTTGGCTGGTTTGTTTGGAGTTGGCTGGCTGGCTGGTGACCACAAGCTTTGTGACTGGGGCTCCTCAATCCAATTGTATACTAAAATCAAATCAGACGCTCGTAAGCGACCATGTTGATGGTTGGTCTTGAGTCTTGTGCTTGGGAGTTCTAGTTCTGTTGGTTTTTGGGCACCCGCCTTCATTCGCAGGATGCTTCAGTGCGAGTGCTTCCGTGCCCCGAGAAGCTGGGGAAGCCGGAGCTGAAGACGCTGCCGCTGCCGTCCGCAAGTGCGGCATCGGCCGGCAACGCCTCGGACTGCCCGACGATGCTGCCCGCACCGTCCGAGACGACGGCTGCTCCGCCGCGTCGCCGCTCAGCTTCGGTGGAGATGCAGAGGGATTCGGGCGAGTGCCGCGCAGTGCACGTGAAGAAAGCGAGTTCTCATCCGGATCCAATCTGCGATGGTGGCGTGTGGCGCAAAACGATGTCGGTTTCCAGTGCAGTAAACCGATCTGGGCGCACCAGTGTGGAGTTGCAGCAGATTGTGTCCAAGGCGAAGCTGGCAGTGTTAGAAACTCCCTCCGAACAACCTAGAAACCATCGAAAATGACCCACCCTATACAGCACAAGCGTGTACAGATATGTATGTCACTTCGTTTTAACCGGTCTTTTCCCAGCCAACACCGGTCTGATTCCTTCTTCCCAGGCCAATCTCACTGAAGTCTTCAAGGTGCGGGAGTTGGAGCTCACAGCTCAGGAAGGTCGAAACCGCTTGACGGTGGCAGAGGCCGTGGAAGAGATGAGCAACGAAGATGAGGAGAAGATGTCAAGAGAGGTTCTCAGAGAGGTCGTCCAGTCTTCAGACTCTTCAGTCTGGTTGAAGCTAAGTCCGCTCAACACCTTTGTTTCGCATTACTTGTCGAAGGCATTGGGATTGATGCCCATCTGGCAGAGCATTGGCAGGAGTTCTGACAAGTCCTGTATGCACCGATGTCTGGACTGGATGTCGCGCATCTATCATTTGCTCGCGATTCTATACCTGCTGACTGGTACAATACCCTTTGGCTATTTTCTGCAAAGATGCTATGAAGCTCCCAATGATGAAGATTGTCGTTATCCCCTTAGTCCTTTGGCCACAGACCTCTTCCTTCATGTCGGTGCCAGCCTCGTGCTTCTGAGCTTGGGCGGGTTTTGGAACTACCAGGACAGACATCCCAGCTCATCTTAGCATTCCTGAAGAACCGGGCATGGCGTGTGCCGCATGTGCCCGGATCATGACATCGTGGCATGACACCGTGGTGAACAATCCGTGAGTTTCGGAGCTTTTTTCGGATGTCGGGGGTTTTTGGCCTTCAGGGTCCGACCGGTCGTTTCTTGTTCTTTTGGTTGCCGCGGGTTTGCGTGCAGGACAAAGCCAGGCTTGTGGCGCAAAGTGCAGAGGAGCTCTCTTCCTATTGCGAGCAGAACTTCTTGGACACAGCATGGAAGATCTGGACGTGTTCCGACACTTGGACTTGTGGGGGCAAAACGAAGAAACAGTGGACAGTGTCGGACAGTTCGTTATTGACCATAGCCATGAAGAGACAGTTATGTTTAGACCTGCTCCTGGTCACTGTTTGTAAAAACATGTTTTTGATGGGTTTACGGAGTCTACGGATTTCTTCGTGCCTCGTGTGTGCAAAACAGAGCCGAAGACTTTTGTTGGGGCAGTGATCCAGGCCGTATGCTTGTAGGTGGTCAGGGTCTTGAGGGGTGGAGGTTGATGTTGCTCTGATGCCCAAGCGGAAACGTGCAGATTTCGTCAAAGACACTGTCCTGTCCTGCGCCGAGCGGAAATTGTGTTGGAGAGTACCAGGTTGTAAGCCGACTTCTTGCAGCTGGTTTGTCCCAAGAGTGGCTGACCTTGTCCGTTGGTCCACGGTGCTGTAGTGATTTGTGTGGATAACCATCAATAGTGGCTCTGCCACTTACATGACTCTTATTTTACTTGATTGGCAATCCATTTCGTGTGCCACACGGGCCCACGAAGGACGCGTTGATGGCCATCTTGCTCTGGTTGGCCCTCTTGTTCGCTCGCTTTGGCATTGCTGCGTGGCATGCCTGGGAAGATCAAGAATGGATCAATATTCAGGCAGTGGCTTTTGGGTTGAGATACATGGTTGCCACCGGGGTGCTGGTGATGGCTTGCTTTTGGCAAGTGCGCACCAGTCACGCCATGCTTCTCATCGTGAACGCCTGGAGTGCCTCCTTGTCGCAAGGTGCCTCATGTCTCGAATCGAAGAACGACTGGCGCACCATCAGCGGGCTCTTCCGGAAGACCTCGCGGACCTTCGAGTTGTGCTTTGCTGCTCTGGGGCTCATCGTGGTGATGGTGGCTTTCGCATATCTCTATGACCTCCAGCAGGGAAAGGGGCTGGAAGCGATGGCCTCCTTGTCGGTGGTGGTGTTGATCCCAGGCAAGAGACGATCAGCGGAGTTTCTGTGGCGGGTTGGGTGAACAGAGGGGGGTGTTGAGGTTGAGCCTTAGAGACTGAGCTGCTCATATGTATATTATATATATAATTTACTGTAATGTAGTGAAATGTAATGCAATGCAATGTTATGTGATGTAGTCCAATGTAATGTAGTGCAATGCAATGTAATGTAATGTAATGCTGTGCAATGCAATGTACTGCAATGGTATGCATGTACGTATGCATGTAGTGTCATGTTCTTTTTTGTCATGTAATGTAATGCAATGTAATGGCAAGTGAAGTAAAGTAAAGTAAAGTAAAGTA